CCCCCGTCCCCGCTGCTTTCCGCAGAGCCGAGCATCTCCCCTCTGGCTCCCGGGCGCTTCAACGCCGCGAACCCAAGCTCCGTCCTCAGAGGCTCCTTCGCCCCGCCCCTTTTCGGCCGTGGTGAAAACCTGGCGTGACGGATCGCCCCGGGCGGGGCTCTGCGCGCCCCGAGGTGGACCTCGCCAGCCGGAGGCCGGAGAGTGAAGTACAGAACGGTAGGAAGCTGCAGCCCTGCGAGTGGGCGGGGCGAGGAGGCCTGGGGATTCGAAAGGAGGTGGAAGGATACAAGAGTCACCGTCGGAACTACTTTCAGGAGGGGGTCACGTGTGCGCCTAGTTGGGGAACTTTCCAAATTCCCACTACCCTATCTCAGTTGCAGCGGCAAGTGCTTCGCTTTCTTTGCTTAGGACACTCCCGCCCGGTAAAGGCAGTGGGACCCCAGTCCCCCACGGGACACAGCGGGAAAGGGGACACAGGCGAGCTTCCCGCAGAAGCGCTGTGTGGCTAGCGCTGGGAAGCTGGTTACACAAGCACCACATCCAAGCACGTGCCCCCGCCTCCCTGCTCCGCTGGCCGCCGCCTTTCCTCGCAGACCGCAAGGGGAGAGTCACCAGGCTGTCACTACTCGCTTGTCATCCACTGAGCAAGCCCAAGGACCGATACCTGAAACTCCTCGCCCTTGATCCGCCAACACTGTGTTCCCAACCGTGGGAGAAGGGGCTGGACCCTGGGGGGTCTGACGCATCTCCTAGCTGATTAACGAGAACCCTTCTGGTTCTGTTCTGGAGCAAAAAGATGTCTCTGTGGCCCGCTACTTGGGTTTGCTGAGTTGCAGCAAAACTCCAGTCACTACCCCTGAACTGGTGAGCGCGCCCCACCTACTGTAAAGTCAGCCAAGTGGCTTTTCTGGTCGGAGAACCTAGTCAAAGGCCATCAGCCTGGAACGAACCTGTCAAGTCGGCTTACAACCCAGATTGCTTGACCTATCACCAAAAGAGCTAGTTCAGAAACGCTGAAAACTGGAACCCATCTCCCCTCCCCCATCAACCAGTATCCACCTTCTGCCTGGGGAGAATTGGCATCAATCAACACCAATTTAGGAATTTTTTCTTTTTTAATTCTTTCCCTGGGGAAGTAGAAATCAAAACGATTTTAATCCATAAGTTTCTGCCTTGCGACTTAGGCAGTGGGTCATTTTAGAAATTTGGGGAAATAGGAATGGATTAGCACGTGTGTTGTAATAATTGTGAGTAGGTTCCTAGGAAGGCCTAAAGAGGATTTATGAAATGTATGAGAAAGAAGATCGCATGTGTGTACATCATAGTTGCAGGCAGTCCCCAAAGCCTAAAAACCTCAAGAGGCCTACCTCAGAAAGCCACAAGCCATTACCTAACTCCAAGACTACTAATTAGACCAGGGATATTTACAGTGTTCTTAGAGATCTCTGAGGCTACTTAAACCTGGCATTTATATAAAGCATCTTTTTAAGATATCTCTGCAGGAGTTAGCAACCTGCTGAAGCTTCAATGTTGATATTTATTGGAGGCTGCTTTTGTGCATGGTTCTGGTCCCCTTGAAGGAGGCAGGGACCTTAGGTGCAAAAGGAAATGGAGAGCATGCTGGAAACAGTAGAAGAAAGGCCTCCATTTGGTTTCTAAGTATGCAAATCCTGTCAACACAGGCTAGTGTGAGTTAGAGATTTCTTTATTTTACAAATTACCAAGGATAAGGAGTCCTGGTGTCTAGGTGTTCTACTAGACTACAGGGTAAAGACCTGTGCTGTGCTCAGTTATCTACTGCTGCTTGATGGGGAAAGGGGAAATGAAGATAAGGCAGTTAGATCAAGGGAAGTAGATCGGGGAGGGTAAAATGTCCCATATTTGTGTTTCTCAGGTTGTGATCTGTCCCCAGAGTCCTTGTTACTTACTAGTCCCGCACTATTCTGCCCCTCCCCGGGAGCCTACCCCGTGTGACAATCACTCTCACAGCATCTGAGCAGCTCTTGAATCTGCCTCCCTGGAAGAAAATGAAACGAGGTGCATTCCTGTCTTGCTAGCTATTAGCTTTAAGAGAGAGGATTCTCTTCAGTTCCCATGGCACAGTTATTCCGGAGCAGAGAGGATGTGCATCACCGCCCTCAAGCACTGGAATATGAGACGAGGAAGAAAACGGGAAATGGGTTTTGCTGCTTTTTAACATCAGGTCCTTCTACTTCTCTCTAGCGGTGAATGAAAGGATCATCTACACAGCAACATCAGGTGGATGTTGGGAGTTGCTGAACAAAAATCTGCTCCCTTTCTAGCAGTGTTGTGTGTTCCTGATGTAGCCTTTTTTTTTTTTTTTACTTTTTCCTTCTACTCAAGGGATGTCCTTACCCATGTGGTAAACCTGAAACCTATAAATGGCCTGGCCCTATGTACAGAAAAAAAATTTTAATAATTTATTTTAAGTTAAAACGTATTATTGGCTGTACAGATATTACAATACACTGGTTTCCAAGCACTTCATTTTATTACCTGTCTGGATTCAGCATGCTCTAGGGAGAAACAGAAGCTTGTAACAAAGGGAGAATTATATAAAGCTTCAAGGAGACTAACTATATAAAATAATTAGAGCATGATAAACCAGCTTTAATTATAATTTCTAATGACTGATTCCAAAACTGTATTGTTACTATACCCAGAGAATGCCTAGGGAAAATTTCTTTTCTCATTTCTTTGATAAGTGAAAAGACCAGCAACTTGATGTGGGTGATATAAATAGTTGATGTGCTCTTTGTAGGTTTGCTAAAATGTCTTTTGTGTGATTATTTTGTCGCTATAGTGCTTTTCTCATCTCCCACACACTGACCTTTCAACAAGAGACCTAAATCAATGGCTTTAATTTTTAAGCCATCTTCTCTATTTTTATCTGTTTATCCAGTGTTTTCTAAATAGTACAATAGGAAAATAATAAAATACAAAAATACAATTGGTTTTAATTTAAACTGCTCTATTCTTCCAGGATTCTGAAGGCTTTCTCCTTATTTAATTCATCCTAGTAATAAATATTGTTCTTTTAAATATAGACAGTTTTCCCAAGACATTCTGCAGAAGGCATTGCAGGGTTCATACAAATAACAATATTCTGAAGGGCCGGGGATTTAGCTCAGTGGTTCTGCCACCTGCCTCACAAGTGCAAGGACCCAAGTTTGATCCCTGGTACCAAAAACAAACAAACCAATATTCTAAAATAAAATGTCTGTATGAGCTTTCCATGTGCTAAATCTCTCCTGAAGTTATTTCAGATGATTCTGTAGCCTTTCCCATCTCAGTAGAGAGTTGTGCTGCCGAAAGCATCACTTTCCAGAAATAAGGTTTGGACTGGGTGATTCTAGGGGAATCAGGAGCAGGCCAGCCACTCACTGTGTGGCATTCAGAAAATGAGCTTTAGTGGCACAGACCTGTGATCCCAGCTACTCTAGTAGCTGAGGCAGGAGACTCACAAGCGCAAGGCCAGCCTGGGCAACTTAGCAAGTCCCTGTCTCAAACTAATGAAACGGCTGAGGCTTCAGTGGTAGAGCCCTCACCCAGAATGTGTGAGGCCCAGGGTCCAATCCCCAGTGCTACAAAAGGCGGAGGGGGCAACTTGCACCAGAGAATGACAGAAAAACCTAAGATGACAATACACTTTAACTGTTCTAGTCTCCAAACTAATTTTTACTATTGGGAATTCTGCTTTGGTCTTATAATACTAACTCTTAACACTAGCCCTGTGAAACACATTTTGTGTTTTGGCACTTCCAATAATTTTTAAAAAGTAATTATAATTTTTTTAAGTAATTATAATACCATCAGATAAACTGGCATCTTCATAGAGTTCTGTCTAGGTATAGGAAGAACACTGAGAAAGAATGAAGGTTGAACATTGCCTCACTCCTAAATAGCTTTCCCTTCAGAACATCCTGGTGGCCCCTGAAGCATCACAACAAAAAGTACCTTTTTGGTCGTTGTTATTATGTTTTTGTTTTGTTGTTTGTTTGAGATAGTATCTCACTGTGTAGCCCAGGCTGGCCTTGGACTCTTGATCCTCCTGCCTCAGCCTCCTGAGTGGCAGAATTACAAGTGTACACCATACCTGTCTTTTTTTCTTTTCTTCTCTCTTTTCTTTTTTTTTTTTTCAGTATTTGTGATTGAACCCAGGGCTTTCACACTGAACTATATCCCCAGCCCATTTTTTATTTTAAGACAGCCTCACTAAGTCACTAGGTTGCCCAAAGTGGGCTTGAACTTGTGATCTTCCTGCCTCAGCCTCCTAAAGTGCTGGGGAAGACATGTGGTCCCCTCGACTATGAATTTGTCGAGGTCTGGAAAGTCCAAGATATCTTACCCACATGTCTAGCACCTCAGCTGGGGTAGCTGACATGGGGAGGGTCCTTCCTCTCTTCATGTGGTTGCTCATTAGCTCTTGCTCCTGTCTGGGGTCTAGGCTAGCACTTCAGAATGAAAAAAATTTTTTTGAAACAGGGTCTCACTATGTAGTCCAAGCTGGCCTTGAATTCATGGCAGTCCTCCTGCTTCAGCCTCCCAAGTGTTGGTATTACAAATGTCTGCCACCATGCCAGTCAGGGTTCACCTCTTGTCCATAAAGCCACATCTACAATTCTTTCAAAAACAAACTTCTCAGCCTGGTATGGTATTGTACATCTCTAATCCCAGCACTCAGGAGGCTGAGGCAGGAAGGACTGCCTTGAGTTCAAGGCCAACCTGGGCTACATTGTGAGTTCAAGACCAGCCTGAACTCCACAGCGAGACCCTGTCTCAAAAATCCAAAAACAAAACCTCTATCTCTACTTTGGACTTGTGAAAGTGACTGCTGTATGACAGCCCTTAAGATTCCTGGAAATCCTTTTGTCCAGATGAAGGCCAGCATCTTATCAGAGTCTGGATCTTTACCTTGAGGCCACATTGTACAGCCAGACTCTGAAGCTATTTCTGACTTTGAGATTTGTTGGCTAAAGAGACCCTCCTAGGCTTTATTTACATTTTCTATGTTCTGCTTGAAAAACTGAGTATTTCTTTTTTTTAATCACTGGTATCTCTGGTGGTACCATCATATGTTGCTTGTGTACCATTGTAGATCACTAAAAGAAGCCGACCGACACTTAAGACAGTCAGCCTGAACATCTCCTTTGCCAGATTTACAGACTGATGAGGTACATTTTCCATTGTCTGTGTTTTCCTGCACACAGGTGTGACCCAACATTTTGCCCTCCTAAACACTATTTCTCTTACCTCCAATAGCAATTTCCTTATGCTCTTATAGCTTCCATGAAGTGTCCCCTCCCCATATTGTGGAGACAGAATAACTGAGACAGGATGTGGGCTCCTACATTGAATTCTGGAACAGAAAAAGAAAAGCACTGTCAAACCTGATCTATACATTATGTTAATTTCTTGGTTTTGATCAAATGTAATTTATTAATATTAATCATAAGGCTGCTGAATGAAGAGTACACATATGAACTCTAACATAACAGCAACTTTTCTGTCAGCCTAAAATTGTTTCAAAATAAAAATTTTGAAAACCAAATTAATCTTTTAAAAGGATTCACTAATCACCTTTCTTTCCAATCTCTACCCAAGGCTTGAACTCTGAGCCAATGCCATCATATTTTGTTTTATTTTATTTTATCAAACCCAGGACCTTATACTGAGTTAAATCCTTAGCCCCTTTAAAATTTTTATTTTGAGACAGGGCCTTGCTAAGTTCCCCAGGCTGGGCTTGAACTTGTGATCCTCCTGCTTCAGCCTTCCAGAGTCCTGGGTTTCAGGTGTGTCCCTCCACCTGGCCTTTTTTTTTCTTTCTCACAGTTCTGGAAATTAAACCCAAAGCTTTGTGCATGTTAGGCAAGTGTTCTACTACTGAGCAACATCCTTAGCACTTTTCTTTTTTTTTGAGACAGGGTCTCACTAAGTTCCCCAGGCTGGCCTCAAACTTGCCATTTTCGTGCCTCAACCTCCCAAATAGCTTAGATTATAGGCATGTGCCACTATGCCTAGCTTGCCATAAAGGTTTTATTTTGCTAGAACCCAACTTTCACACACCAATTTCTGTCAAGGTATAATATCAACACTGCATAACATATCACCAAAATATGGTAGCTTAAAATGGCAACAAGTACTTACTGGCTTAGTATTCTGCAATGTGAATAGGATAAGTGGTGACAGCTTTGTCTCTATTGAAATGTTAGCTGAGGTGGCTTCACTTGCGCTGGAGGATAGTGGCTACAGTCACATTTCTAGTGTCTCAGCTGAAGTGGCTATGATGGCTAGAGGCTAATTGGACCTCTCTCCATAGTCTCCTTCCCTTTAGGGAGTATAGATCACTTCAACAGGGCAGTCAGACATCTTCACATGGCGATTATCCTCCAAGATGTCAGAATCTAAAGTTCTTAGGCAGAAGCTCAATATCACCATTTTTTGCCTCAGTCTATTGTCCACAGCAGTAATAGGGCCAACATTCAAGGAAGGGGAAATAGATTTCACCTTTTGGTGAGACAGTGGCATGCATGTAGAGGGATGGAGGAGTGGATGTAGACAATAATCTATCACAATGCTCCGCCCTCTCCCTGTAAATGACTCCCAGGACCTCAGTTTTTTATCATCCTTCTCTTAGGTCAATTTTGCCTAGAATCACTATTTTGCTCCTTAATCTTTCAAGTTCTTTATTTGCTCGCTCATTTATTTTACACGCATAATTGTACTCCAGAATTAAAATATTTTCAAAAATATTAAATGAAATAAAACCAAAGTGAATAATGTGTTTGCATAAACACATGAAAAATGTCTGGAAGAATAAACAGTCAAGAAAGATAATACTGGTTACCTCTGAGGGAAGGATGGGAAAGAGTCCTTCAGAAAGAAAGGAATTTTTCTTTTTCATTTGTTGCTTTCTCTGTGGTTCTTTACAATGATCATTTATTATTTTCATGAGGCAGAAAGTTATTTCATCCAATTGAATTAAGGCTAAAAATAAATGTTACATCCAATAACCAGAGAGGAAGCTCAAATCTAACTTCATTTTTAAATAAATGAGCACACAAAGGAATTTCCAGCATTTAGGCCTAAAGGTCAGTTCAGTGTCTACTGCACCACAGAAATGCCCGTGGATGTCTTCCGTAAACACTGCATTGTAGAGATACTTTGACGTACACAGGTCGTGTCTTATCCTGTGTATCTTTTCATCCTTGTATCAATGATCTCAACTATATTTATTTTTACTCTTTTTACTACTTACTAACTTTTGCTGTTCAAAGAAAAAAAAAACGGTGGCACATGTCTGTAATCCCAGCTACTTGGGAAACTAAGGCAGGAGAATCAAAAGTTGTAGGCCAGCCCAGGCAACTGAGACCAAAAAAAAGATTTAAAAGGTGGCTAGGAATGTAGATCAGTGGTAGAGCACTTGCATAGCCTATGTTGGCCCTGGGTTCAATCCCCAACACAACTAAACAAATAAATATTTTTTTACTCCAGAAATACTCATGTTTTTATAATGCCACCACCTTTTCCCATTCAAAGCAGTGGAAGACTTCTTTATGTTTCAAGAGTATGAGAGTTAGGAGAAATCTCAAAAACAGCCTGGTTAAGCAGTCCCACTTTGCAAATGAAGAAACTAAGGCCCAACAGTTTAGATGTCCAGATTATATAAAACCTAGGGAAAGATCCTTGACCCAAGCTTGGGAAATTTCCTGATACCCTATCAGTAAATAAAGATGGAAGAAAACCTAGCTTTTATAGAAACCTAAGCAAATTAGAAATCTAACTAGAGATGGCTTTTAATGGCA